TTTCCTCTTCGCGCTCGCCAGAAAACTCCTCACCAATGTGCGCGACGTTGAAGATTTGGAGCCAATGCTTGTATCCTTTGCCGACGTCCTTACTGCTCTCGCGATCGTGGCGCCCCGAGTGGCGATGCTGCTTGCAACGATGTGGCGCGCGTCGATACCGCAGACACTCGACGGCGTTCGTCACACCTTCTTCCCCTTGGTCGAGCATCTGCAACTCCGGGCATCGGACGCGCGCGTCCAAGACTTGCTAGTGTACTTGGCGACCGAGTGCAAGGCAGCTTTCGTCGGTGGTGGCGCGCTCGCCCCGCTGCCAGACTTCAACGGCTACGCCATCACCGACATTGCGCTGGACGAGTCGCACTGCGACCCGTGTGCTGACGTTGGCCGCTTCTTTCGCACCGGCAACTGTACGACGATGACGGTCGAGGTGAAGTGGAGCCCTTCCAGCCCGAACAATCTCTGCGATGAAGTCGAGGCTGTCGTGGCGCGCAACCCGGAACGCCTCGTGCTCGAGACCACACAGTTTAAAGTGGAGCTACACAAGCGAACGTGGCCTGGCATGCGATCAGCGGAAGCGGCAGCAGAGCATGCGTACCGCGAGGCGAGGTATCGCCAGGACGCACGATGTGTCCGCCAGCTCACGGCGCTGCTTGCAGAACTGGCGCCAAAACCACCGGGCAAGCAACCCAATGAACAAGCTCCAGTGTCGTCCCACGAGTCCCGACCCCCAGTCGCATGCTAACGCTCACTGAAATGGCTGAGTCACGTCAGAGTTCATCTCGCAAGTACTTTAGTATACAAGGTGTATGTATGCTTAGATTAACGTGTATATACGTCATAGACCGCTAAAGGGATATTAACACAAGCATGCAGCGATGTACTTGGGCACGCCCTAGCGCCGGGGCTTGCATTTCGCAGGCGCCGTCAGTTTCTTGGTCGTGGCTTGTGCTGCTACCTCGGTGAGCAGCGCATTCAGAGACACACTCCTTGTCCCGGTATTGAAGGAACGCGCGTTGAGCGGTCTCGGCCGACGTCTTTGATGACACCATGTCGAGCCGCTCCATCAAGAGAAACTGGTGCATCTCGCTGTCAAAATGCGTATCGAGTTCGAGCCGGCGCTTGTTCCGGGTGAATGCGCGTTGGGTCTCGGGACAGAGTTGGTCCTCTTCCTCCATCTCCAACTGCGTGTCGGAGCGAAGGAAGCGGACAAACTCTGCGCACTGGCTGCAGTGCGACACGCGCATCTTGATGTCGGTGATCGCATAGCCGTTGAAAATTGAGATGGGGCGGAGGGCGCCACCGAGCACGAACGCGGCCCCTTCGATACTCCTTTGAGACTGCTTGAGACCAAATTGGGCTATCTATTACTATTACCATGCGGTGCGGTCACGGCTCCTGCTTCAGCATTGCGCCAGCATACTGATACTCTTTGCAAAGGCCATTGCGATCTCAATCACTGGGATGACGTTAAACACGCAAAGTTTAACGCATTTATAAATCAAATGTCATCCAGAGCTCTACATACTACAGTACTACAGGATGCATCGAGTGGCGCTAAGATCTTGGTCCAAGGTAGTTACTACTCGAATGAACTAGAAAATGGCGTCAACACGAAGGACTGCGATCGTTTCATCGCATATTTAGCTACGACGACATTCGCATGGAGCAGAACCAGGAGAAGAAGACGACCGAGCACCAAGCCATCGACTTTTACCAAAAGGTGATGACCATCTATCTATGTGGATAGTTGGATAGATACATCGTCTAGGGCGTTGAGATTGCGCACAGCGCGACGGGGGCCGAGGACCATGTCAAGGCGATTGAGCTCATCTCGATGGCGATCGCCGTCCGACCAGGTCACGCCCGGTATTTCCTTGCGCGCGGCAACAGCTTCCGCGCCATCAACGAGTTTGAGGCCGCGATCGCCGACTTTGACATGGCGATTTCGCTCGACGACAAGTGTCCGACGTACTATGCGAGCCGAGGCACGTGCTTTCGCAAGGTTCTTCCTTGGATTCCTCTAGTACTCTAAGAACTGAGCGTAGCTCGGACGGGCCGCCGATGCGCTCGAAGACTTTACGCTCGCGATCGAGTACGATACCAAGCGGGTACGATGAACGCATTTGTGTTTTCGTAGGCGGACGTGTTGATTAGGGAACCCACTACTTCAACCGCGCGCTCGTCCTCTACGACATCAACCACTACGAGCTCGCAATCTGCGACTTTACCAAAGCCCTCGACGATGCGTCGGGCGGACCTCGCACCGAGTTTCGCGCGCTCCATAGCCGCGGCAACTGCTACCGCCGGCTCGGGCTCTTTGGTATCTAGTCATAGACGTGTGGAGAGATTGTCTATAACGATGCAGACAAGTGCGTGGACGATATGATGCAAGCGATCAAGCTCGAGCCGCGCAACTCGACGGTCTACAACTCGCTCGCGCAGTGCTACATGGAGGTAGATCATTCCTTCATGTATGGACGAGACAAGTCCATTCTACCACCATAGTACCACGACTTGGAAAGTGCGATCAAGCACTTTTCGACCGCGATCGCGCTCCTGGATTCCAACCCGGCGTACTACAACAACCGCGGTCAAGCGTATTTTGAAAAGGTATATATATGAAAACGACTAGGAAAAAATGCTAAACTAACTGGGAGTAGGGGCACGAGTACTATCGCATGGCGCTCTCGGACTTTCATTTGGCCATCAAACTCGACGGCAAGGACGCCCAGGCCTACTACAACCGCGGTCTCACGCGCATCGCGGTCGGCCTTGAAGAGATTTCGGCGCAAGAGACCGCCAACCAGCTCGCCCACGATCTCCTTCTGCGCTCCGAGCTCGAGTCGTCCGAGGACCGGTAGCAAATGCCACCCACATAGGATCGTCCACGCTCACATTTGAGCTAGAAATGGACCCAAAACCAGCAGCAACAGCACGACGGCTGAGGCGCCAGCGACGACCACCGGTGCGATGAGCATATTCGAGCAGCTGGAAGCGGCGCTGGCCGACATGGACATGGCGTGCAGTATCGTGCCCGAGTCGCCGCGGTATCTCTTTGGGAAAGCCATGGTCATGCATCTCAAGCGGCACCCGCAGCAGACGCAGCACTTTCTCGACATGGCGCTGCAGCTTGACCCGGCGCACGTACAAATTTTGCTTTTTGGATCGAGTTTTTGTGAAAATATCCTGTCTGCGATTCGTAGGTGGCCTCCAAGTACCACATTGGCCTACTGCAGCACGAAAACCACCAGCACGAGGCCGCGGTCGCAACGTTCACAGCGGCCATCCACGACCTGCCGACGGAGCCGGCCTTTCTTGCCGCCCGCGCGCTCTTGTTTCAAGACATTGGACTGCACGAGCTCGCGATCGAGGTGCGCTTTACTACTGTATCATAACTAAGAGTAGTCAGCGAGACGTGGTCTGTAGGACTACTCGAGTGCGATAGCGGTCGCGCCATCGCCCGACGCACTCCACGTCTACCACCGCGGCGAGAGCCATTTACGGCTGAGTCACTTCGACGCGGCGGTCGCCGACCTCTCGCTGGCGCTGACCTTTGGCGCGTCCGGCCCAGGCATATACAATGCACGGGGACTCGCCCACCGTGGGCTTGGGCTGTACGAGCTCGCGATCGCCGACCTCTCGGTACGAGCCCTTCTTCTTCTCGAACGTCGTTCAAGGGAGCGATGGCGGAACAGAGCTGCGTCGAGCTCAACAAGCGCGAACCGAGCTTCCGGCTGCACCGCGCGATCTGCTACCTCGAGTGCTGCGAGTACCAGAAGGCCCATCTGGACCTGGTTGTCGGGCTCAAGCTCGCGCCGACGGACCCGCGGCTTCTCTTCCACGCCGGCATGGTCCTCTTCCACCGGCTTCAGTTCCCCGAGGCCATCGTGCAGCTGCGATCGGCGCTGGCGCACGCCCCCAGCATCTCGTACCTCTCGGAAATGTCCGCCTGGCTCGTCTCTGGATACTCTTGATACAATCTTGATACTTTTAGTCACTATTACATTGGCCTCGCGTACGCGTCGATCGAGCGCTGCATGGACGCGATCGAGAGCTTCACCGACGCGATTGCGACGGTATCCACAGACACTGCAATCGTATCAATGTATCGAGAGACTATCAACTAGGCGCAAGACGAGCAGCTCGTCTACTTCCACGAACGCGGCAAGGCGCTGCAGCTCGAGCGCTACTACGAAGAGGCCATCGACGACTTCTCGCACGTCCTCAAGCGGAATCCGACCAACGCCCACGCGGCCTTCCGGCGCGGCTTCGCATACAAGGCGCTCGGGCGACACGCCGAGGCCGCCGCCGACATCCAAAAGGCGCGCTTGCTCGACCCGACCAACCCGCGGCTCATGGTCAACTTCAAGGAGCTCCACGGCACCGACTGCATTGTCCTTTGTGCCCCGGGGCACGAAAAGACCTTTTGATTCTCAACTGAGCAACGTAGATAAATGTACGAAGATGTTCATGCAGTTGGCATTACAAGTTATGTGCGAGAAGACATTTAGTCGACTTCCTCCATCGTCGACTCCTCCATGCCATCGTCGCCCTCGAGCGGCGGGAGGTCATCGAGGTTCTCGTCGACAACGTCATCGTCGTCGATGCTGAGGCCGAGCTTGATGAGGCGGTGGATGCGGTTGGCAAACGTCGTGGGCTCGTCGAGCGAGAAGCCCGAGGTGAGGAGCGACGTATCGTAGAGGAGCCAGATGAGGTCCTTGACCGTCTTGTCGCTCTTGTCAACATCAGCCTTCTCGCGGAGCGACTTGATGATCGGGTGCAACGGGTTGATCTCCATCGTCTTCTTCGACGACATGTACGACGAGGTCGACGAGTCGCGGAGGGCCTGCGCCTTCATGATGCGCTCCATGTTGGCCGACCAGCCGTACTCGCCCGTGACGAGCACGCAAGGCGACTCGACAATGCGGTTCGAGATCTGGACCTTCTCGACCTTCTCGTCAAGCACTTCCTTCATGAGCTTGCAGAGGCCCTCCGTGGCGGCCTTGGCCTCCTCGAACGACTTCTTCTCATCCTCTGACTCGGACATGTCGAGGCCTTCCTTCGTGGCGCAGATGAGCTTCTTGCCCTCGTAGTCCTTGAGCTGCTGGACAGCGTACTCGTCGATGGGGTCGACCATGAAGAGGACTTCATAGCCCTTCTTCTTGAGCTTCTCAATGAACGGCGAGTTCTCGACCGACTTCTTCGACTCGCCCGTCACGTAGTAAATGCCGGGCTGGTTCTCGGGCATGCGCGAGATGTAGTCGTCGAGCGACGTGAGGTCCTCGCCCGACTTGGTCGAGTGGTAGCGCAAGAGCTTGGCAATCTTGGTGCGGTTGGTCGAGTCTTCGTGGATGCCGAGCTTGAGGTTCTTCGAGAAGGCCTCGTAGAACTTCTTGTACTTCTCGGCGTCTTCGGCGAGCTCGTTGAACATGTCCAAGCACTTCTTGACGAGGTTCTTCTTGATAACGCGGAGGATCTTGTTCTGCTGGAGCGTCTCACGCGAGATGTTAAGCGGCAAGTCTTCCGAGTCGACCACACCCTTGACGAACGAGAGGTACTCGGGCATGAGGTCCTCGCAGTTGTCCATGATGAAGACGCGGCGCACGTAGAGCTTGATGTTGTTGAGCTTCTTCTTGGCACCACCCTCGAACATGTCGAACGGCGCGCGCTTGGGCGTGAAGAGGCACGCCTTGAACTCGAGCTGGCCCTCGACCGAGAAGTGCTTGACCGACGCATGCTCCTCCCAGTCGTTCGTGAGCGACTTGTAGAAGGCAGCATACTCCTCGTGCGTCACATCCTCGGGCTTGCGCATCCAGATGGGCTTCTGCGCGTTGAGGTGGTCCCACTCGTGCGACACTTCCTTGATCTTCTTGGTCTTCTTCTTCTTGTCGTCGTCGTCCGTGACTTCTTCGATCTTGGGCTTGTCGTCGCCGTCCTTCTCCTCTTCTTCCTCGTCCTCGTCGTCCGTGACCTCCTTCTCCGTCGTCTTCTCGACGTAGAGGCGGATCGGGAAGCCAATGAACTCAGAGTGCTTCTTGACGAGGTCCTTGAGCTTGCGCTCCTCGAGGTACTCGAGCATGTCCTCCTTGAGCTTGAGCACGATGCGCGTACCGCGCTGGATGGGCTCCGAGGTCAAGTCGCGCGTGACCGTGAACGAGCCGCCGGCGGCCGACTCCCACACGTGCTGCTCGTCGTCGTTGTGCTTCGAGTGCACGGTGACGCGGTCGGCGACGAGGTAGGCCGAGTAGAAACCGACACCGAACTGACCGATCATCGAGATATCGGCGCCGGCCTGGAGGGCCTCCATGAAGGCCTTCGTGCCCGACTTGGCGATCGTGCCGAGGTTGTTGACGAGGTCGGCCTTGGTCATGCCGAGACCCGAGTCCTGGAGCGTGAGCGTGCCGTTGGCCTTGTCCGGGATCACCTTGATCTCGAGGTCCTTGTCCGAGTCGAGCACCGACGCGTCCGTGAGCGACTGGTAGCGGATCTTGTCGAGCGCATCCGACGCGTTCGAGATGAGTTCGCGGAGGAACACGTCCTTGTTCGAGTAGAACGTGTTGATGATGAGCGAGAGGAGCTGGTTGATGTCGGCCGAGAAGGCAAACGTTTCCGACGAGTCCGCCATGGTGGTCTTGCTGTTGTCTTGAGAAGGCAAATCCAAAAGTGAGCTCGGGTAGCGGAGGTCGGGCGAGCTTCTAGAAAGGTCGATAAAATGGCCAATCACACGGCACCGCCGAATTTTAGCCAATCGAACGCAAGCTTCTAGATTCCGCGTATCCGGATTCTGGAAGATTCCGCCGGTTGATTCGACTTGCCACACGCGCGAGTGATGGTGACGTACCTGCCAGTTGATTGTTGTTGTTGGATTGAAGGCGACTAACTAAAAGCACGAGAGAAGGGACCGGTGGTGATAGAAGGGACTAAGAACTTAGGGAGACTTGTTGGTCGAGAGGTTGATGTCTCTTGATGGAAGTTGCGGAAGAGGATACTTGATGGCAGTGGCGCGACGCAGCGTTGGACACGGCGCTGCATGGCCGTGTGGCGCTCACTGCATAAAACCGTATCCGTAAAAGGACTTGATACTAATTGCCACCAGACTCGATACCATGTGCTGGCAGGAGGTTGATACTGGGAGTGGGACCGTGATAAGAACCAAGTCTACACACCAGAGTTCGACTGCTCCTCGGCCCTGGCGTCGGCTAGTAGCTATCTACGACTGCACCACCGACTCCAGCGTCCTGCGCAGAACAGCAGACCACCGTGACAGCCTCGATCCACCTCCACACACACAAGACCATCAGTTAATAGTTAGTCGAACACGTGGCGTATTGTGGCGCGGGGCTCGTGGGCGGTCAGGCGCGGCGTGTGGATGGGGTGGCAGCGCAGCGCGGTCGCGCGCGTCGAGTCGCTTCGTCGCTCGAGTAGAAAGTACTTCATCACATCCAGTGGCATCTTGGCTTCGTCCAGAATGCGGTGCGGAACCTCCGCCTCGAGTCGCTGCGTGTCGAGCCACTTGACCACGTGCAGGTGGCCGTGCCACGAGGCCTTGAAGAGCGCCTCTTCGAACGCAGTGTCGTCCGCCTCTGCGTACAGCATCTGCACGAGCGCCAAGTGGCCAAACTTGGCTGCGATCACGACGGAGCGCGGCGTCACGCCGGCGTAGCCATGCGCGAGGACGAACGCAAGCATGGCAGCATCGCCCTTGGAGACGACGCTCGTGACAAGGCTCGGGAACCACTGTCCGAGACGCTCTGCATGGGCGTACTGTGCCACGTGCACGTGGCCGTGCATGACGGCGCAGTACAAGACGTGCGTCGCGTCCAGCCCCTTCTCGTGGAGGTAGCGCACCAGCGGCAAGTGACCCCATCGCGCCGCTTCGCTCAGCAGCGAGGACGGCAAAAGCGGCAGTGCGTCGCGCTGGCTGTAGAGAAAGTCGAGCACCGCGACGTGCCCATACTTGGCCGCGAGGAGCCAGTGCAGCTCGTCAAGCGCGATCGCGCGCGTCGTCGCCACGCACGTCGCTAAGCCGACGTCGCCGATGCGCAGCGCATAACAAAAGAGGTGGCGGTCGTAGCCCTTGTCGCAGAGGACGGCGAGGCCGAGGGTGCCCCGTCGGCTGCGCCAGCTTGCAAAGACGTCGGCGAGGTCGTCCGGGTCGTTGTAGTAGCATGCGTCCTTGGTCGCGTACGCTGCGCGGAGGCGGCGCAGCACCGCGAGCGTGTCGGGCGTGCAGCCGTCTTGGAAGCGCGTGATGCTCCAGAGCAGGTCTGCCAAGCGAAGCACGCGGCCCATCGTAAAATGGAAAAATGGCGAATCCAACGGATCCGAGTAGCTTACCCAGGTGCGATCGGACCAATCACGTACAATTCTCGCAATTCATGGACCAATCAACGCGCAGCACATCGTTACAGTTCCGTAGATCTTCTGGCGGTCGAACGTGCGACCTTGCGCTCGTGGCTGGCAACGCTGCGCCCGAGCGGCTAGCGCTGACAGCTACGCAGGCGTAGCAAGCGCTTGGGCTAGCTGGTGGCGCCGCGAGTGGCGGCTGCGCCCGCGGTACCCAGATGCTTCCGAGAGTAGGATCGTCGTGTAGTGTCAATGTAGCAGCCCGGTGTGTCACGCGACCAAGTGCCACAACGATGCTACACCATCTCGTCGGGCTCGAAGCGAGCACCAAAACGAGAGATATAAGAGGAAGTCGGAGTTCAACGATAGTACTTGGCGCAGGCGTGCGCTTCAGACGCGATCGCTGACGTCGTCCAGCATCGAGATCGCTCATTTGCACCGTCTCATGGCCACACGTCGCATCTTCAAAGGGCCGAGTTGGAGGATGTGGCGTAGAGACAGCTTATCCATCCGTGCATGAGGTCTGTGCTCACTCCTGCGAACGCTGCAAGACCACATACAGTACGTCATGTCTTACTCTGCCAGCGTCGCAGCTAGACTACCGCTGGCGTAAGGTACGCAACCAACGCGTGGTGGCCCCCACGCTGGGCGACCTGAACCACGATCACGCAGCACAGCAGATGCGTTTGTTTGCTGATCGAGCCATCGCACGACGTGGACATGCCCGTTGGTGGCCGCAGCCACGAGAGCGGTATCGAGACGAGCTTCGTGTCGGTGTTGGCAGAGGAAGAGGACGATGTCCAAGTGGCCATTGGCAGCCGCGGCCGTGAGCGTCGACGACGAGAAGCCCGCGTAGCCGTGATCGTGCAGAGAGCAGAGGACGTCGAGGTGCCCGCGCGAGGCGACGCTGCCGAGGACCTTGGGGTCCCACGCGCCGAGGCCGAGCGCATGCAGGCGCTGCGCGATCGCGAGGTGACCGTGCTTGCACGCCATATTAAGAGCGTCCGTGGCGTCGCAGCCTTGGTGCGCGAGGTACAATACGAGCTCGAGGTTGCCGCACTCGGCGGCGGTGGCCATGAGCCGCGGTTCTGCGCGCGCGTCGGCGACGCTGCAGAGGTAGGCGATCACGTCCATCTTGCCGACGCGGATCGCCGGTGTCCAGAACATCCAGCGAGAGAGCAAGCGGCCGCGATCATGCAGGTGGCGCAAGATGGACGCGTCGTCGTAGAGGAACGCGCAGTAGTAGAGCGGTGTGCGGACCTGCGTCTCCCAGAGCGCATCGAGGTGGTCGAGGGAATAGCGAGCGAGCCATGCTGGCAGGACTGCGCGCATCGCTGCCACGTGCTCCTGCAGGCGGCTGGGCGCATAGAAGACGATGCCATGGAGCACACGCATGAGCTCGAGCGTCTGCAACGGAAGGCCATCTTGGAAGGCCACGATGCCACGGACCAGGTCTGGGTCATAAGTCTCAAAAGAGCACCTGATTCGTAAAAGAGCACCTTCTTTAGAATCGCACGCCGCTGGTGCTGCCACGAGTGTCTGTTGCTACGACCAAGACAGAGTCCGAGCGAGCAGTGTATTTCTTAGAGTGTGATGACGCCGTGAGGGTAGATGGATCGCCGGCGAGCGCTCTTGAAGCTACAGCTGCACCTTGTAGACGTTGGGGCCTTGCTTGAGCACGTAGCACTCGTTGCGCAAGATATCGATGAAGTCGCGGAAGTCGTCGACCTGCAGCGCCATGCTGTTGGCAACTTCAAGAAGCTCGTCCATGCTAAACTTTGTCGAGTTGCGCGTGATCGCAGCCTTCTTGAGTCGCGCCATGTACGCCTTGACCTATCGTGATACATTGATTGATTGACTGATCGATTGATTGAGTGTACTAGTACCTTTTTCGAGAGGCTGAGGCCGCCCGACCGGCCAAAGTCCAAGTCGCCGTCCTCAGTCGTGTACGTGTCGAGCAGGCATTCTTGCATGATTTCGACCACGTCGTAGGCGTGCTGCACCTCGACGACGTCCTTGAGTTCGATCTTGGCGCGGGCTTGCGCGAGCCGGATGAGCGACTCGAGCTGCCGCATCGTGATTGGGATCCCGTCGGACGACGTCTCGGCGTCAGCGCGCATTTTCAAATATTTTTCCTGCAGAAAGGTCTTGGCGTCCGGCGACAGCTTGGGGTGGATGTACTTTCGAGCGTAGGCGATGTAGCGCCGGATGAGGTAGATCGAGATGGGCGTTTCTTGGAGCTCGGCCCAGTTGGCCATGAGCCGCTGCTTGAGCGACCCGTCGTTCGCATCCCCAATGTCGGCCGGGGGTCCTTGGTCCAAGCGCGACTGCGACCATTTCTTCTGCGACCCAGCGCCCAACTCGACGCGCTGGCGCTTCTGCTTGGACGTCAAGTGGTTGTACATGACGTGCTCCGAGAGCATGTGGTCGCGGTTCGAGTCGGGCCGGTCGAGGAGCACGAAAATCAAGTCGAAGCGCGAGAGCTACAGTCCTTTATGCCGATAGAACCAACGACAGAAGTTGCTACCAACGCGGCCTTCATCTTGAGGTTCTCCGAGACGCTCCGGCTTCGGTTGTAGTGGCCGCCCGAGGGATTCGCCGCCGCAATCACCGACGTCCGCGCGTTCAAGTTGCACACGATGCCTACACACGGCTTCCATACGTCTTCAGTCAGTTAGTTGGTCGCACCCGCCTTGGCAATGCTAATGCTCTGCTGCTCCATGGCCTCGAGCAGCGCCTGGTAGTCAATACCCATCTTGTCAAACTCATCAATGCAACAAACACCCTAGTCGTTCCGAGAACTTGATACATTGAAACAAATACCGAGCCTACCTGGTCGGCCAGGACGAGCGCACCGGCTTCGAGCGCGTAGTCGCCGGACGAGTCCTTGACCATCGTGACGGTAAGCCCCGTCGTCGTTGTCGTGTTGCCGCCGACGTAGATACCGCGCGGTGTCACCATCGAGACGGCCCGCAGCATCTACTTCCATGGCTCATATTGCTGTCGAGACATGGACGACGGAGGGACCTGGCTTTTCCCGAGGCCCGGGTCACCGACCATGAGCACGTGGGAGTCGCTGCGGGTGAAGCCAGCGTCCTCCTTGCGCTGGGCGCCGCCAAAGAGCGCGAGCAACAGTCCTGCCTACCACATACGAATGTCGTATCTCGGGCGTTCAAGACATGTCGCACCTTGACGAGCTCGTTGCGGAAGATACCAGGGCAAAATGAGTGAATGAGCCGGTCAAACACGCGGTCCATATGTGCGATCTTGTAGATGCCATCGAGGTCCTACGCGCCGCAAGATAGGCTCAAGATGAGCAGGGTCGCGTCCTTGCCTCGGCGGTGAACTCGACGTTCTCCTGGGTCGACGACGCCTACGCCACGCCCATGAGGTCTTCAAGCAGTCGCAAGACGACGACCTCGGACTGCGTGACGCTCGTCACGGAATTTGCAACGAGGTAGAGCACGTAGAGACTGCTGGCTTGGGCTTGCTTGCCGTACTTGCCGCCGTGGAGCTCCGAGTTCATGGCCTTGACGGCGCCGCAGACGGTGACGACGCTGCCAGGCACGCACGAGTCGACGAGTTCTTCTAAGAGCTCGACTTCGACCATGCGCGGAATGCGACCCGCGGCCGCGTCGCAGTTGTCGACCTCCTGTAGCCTAGTCGCCATATCCCTAAGAACGTATTGCGAGGAGTTGTTGGTATCAACTTGATCTTTTGAAAGTCGACGGTGCGCGCCGAGCTGCGGTGCGGGACGAGCGCGGCCTTGCTCTTGCAGCTGCCGCAGCCCGATGGCGGGTCAAAGTTGCCATCGGGAAAGTACCGGGGCGTGACGCCTTCGCATTTCTCGCAGAGAAACTCGCACCAGACGACGAGCGGCTTGATCGCGTTGACGCGGATGACGGTGCCCGTGACGCTGACGAACGTGTCGACGGCGTGGGCCTTGAGGTCGCCGATCGATGTCTCGGGCTCCCAGCCCACGATGCGCACGTAAATCTTGTCCTTGGTCATGACGAGCTTGTCGCGCGGAAGCATGTCGTATTCGGACGCCGCAATCTCGTCTTCGTGGCGCAGCTACAGCGAGACGACGTCGGCGGCGGCGCCGGCGATCGAGGTCGTACCATGCACAGCGCGAGGCCAAGCGACCGGAGGTAGTGCTCGTACCCGACCGTGAAGCACTCTTGCGCGTCGTCGCCAAAGAGGCTAAAGAGATGCTTGGCCAGGACCGTCACGACCGTCGCCTCCATGAGGTTGACCTAGCCAGCAGCATCAATGCGCACTCAACTAGGATGGCTGGACGCACTTGGGCGAGGAAGCCGTCGGGCTGCCGGCAGTCGCGGAGGAGCGCGTGGAACTGGAGCAGCGGCCCAAGGAAGTCGGACTTGACGAGGTCGATGTCGTCCTCCGAGGCAAAGTACTCCTTCCATAGCGGCAGGAGCGCGTCCGCCCACTCGGCTTCCGTGAGCATGGTTGATAATTATATTCGGCATGCTTCCTCTTAAATTCGGCACATGGGCCTTTACCGTCCTTCGCGTCGAACTGCATCGACGGACGCCGTGGCTGCGATGGCGCCGGCGCCGGTGCTAGCGCTTCGAAGGGTTAACCCTTCAACGCCACTTAACGCACGCACGTCCTTGCTACAGCCATCGTCATCCCGACCGATCGGTGCGCGGCAGATGCCATATTTAATATGGATAAAAACACCCAACCCAAATGCAGACGATCTTGAACAGGCATGTATCTATTGCAGGAGCCAGCACCAGCATCATGGCGGTGTAGGTACACGAAGCTACAAGCGCGAGGGCGGCGGCGTTGGGCCAGCGTTCTCATGGGAGAGCGGGAGCGGCGGTACTTGGTGCAGCAGGTGGTCGTCGACGTGGAAGGCCCAGCGCTTCTGCGCCTTTAGAAGGTGCCGCATGCTCTCTTGGTCGGCTTCGTCGACGGCGAGGCCGCGCTTGAGCGGCAGTTTGTGCTGGCCTTCGTCGAGGTTGATGACGGTGAAGTACCCCGTGTGGGACTTGCGCTTCTCGCTCTGGCCAATGCGCTCGATGAAAACTTCGACTTCGACCTCGAGGGTGTGGCGCCTACCAGACCAGATCTGGTCATCGCAATTATTCGAGACGAGCGCGTACCGGACCATGACAACGCGCGACTTCATGCTCACAATGTCGACGGGCGTGATGGGCAGCTTGAAGAAGATGCGGTTCATCGAGATGGTGACCATGGACACGTTCTGGGTAAACTTGCGCGCGCAAAAGACTGCGACGCGGTCCTACACCAGAATCTGAGTCGATACCAGATACCAAATACCTGAATCGAGTACCATCCACTGGAGAATTTCGCCGCCAAAGATCGTGTTGTTCATGTTGAGGTGCTTGGGCATGAACCAGTTTTTGACTTCGACGAGCGTGTTCCTCACCGGCACGAACGACTCGCGCGACGTCGACATGGGGTAGACCTGCAGCATGTCCTCGGTGATGTGCGCCATCGCGTCCACGTCTTCCTGGTACGTCCGCCACGTACTCGCGAGCTCCTTGCGATGCACCGCCTTCTCCGCCCTACAATATCCATACCGCATGAATATATGGCATAGAGGCAGACGACGACGTACAGAAACGCGACGAGGTCGGGCTGCGACGACGACGTGAGCGCCGGGAGCCCCGGGCGCGGCCGGCCCTTGGCGTCAATGGCCACAAACGTGATGATCGCGTCGTGCGTGTGCGTGACCTTGCCCGTCAGCATCTCTTCGCGGTACCCCGTGAGCTGCACGGCCGTCGACGAGTTGCTCGTGCTCAAGACGCGGCCCTCGAGGCGGAAGAGGTCGCCATGGAACACGGGCTTGTGCGAATCGACTTGGTCAAAGCTCACGGTCGCGACGGGGCCGTTGGCGACCCTAGACGTCCGTGATGCGCACATTGATCGTAGAAGGATGGGCGTACTTGGCGGCGACGGCGGCGCCGACGACGTCCATGCGCTCGAGCACAGGGCCTTGGCTGAGCCACTGGCCGCGCAGGCTCTCTTCGCCCTAGGAAATGATGCATTCGCATGTGGCCATGCATGAGGCGACGCCTACGATGATGTCGGCGAAGGACATGTGCGTCGACTCGAGCGTGATGCTGCTGCTCTTCCGCGTCGTCGTCATCATCGTCGTCGTCCGGGGGCCGCGCCGAAGATGCAAATTTTGTAGTTTCCGCCACATTGCAACCAGATCGGAAACTAACCAAGATCCGTCAACATGGAAATCCGGATACTCAAGAAATCCGGATACCACCAAGATCATGGCCGAACTCGCCAGGACGGGAATCGTGAGGGGTCTTCTGCATCTGCTTGCTGACTACAGTCGTCATACACACGACATCCGTCGCTCGGGTTCCAAGCGCACGACTTGGGCGTAAATCTCAGTGCGATATAAACGCTCAAAGGAGTTGAGCAGTATTAACAAGCACTGCCGTGGCCATAAAAAGAGGGCTTGGTGGTCTATTTCTATATTGGGGGTTAAGTTCTTACGTTCTGGTATGTGGGTTGTCTAAATCTTGATGTTCAGCTTGTCTTGCTGTCGGGTCGAGAACGGGACTGGGAACTCGTTGTTGGAGAGCGGAATAGGCGGGAATTGGTGCAGATGCTGGCCTTCCAAGTCAAACTCCCAGCGCTTCTGCGCCTTCAACAGGTACCGCATGCCATCCTGGTCGGCCTCGTCGACCGCGAGGCCCGTCTTGATGAACGCCGGGCGCTGCGCCGCGTCGAGGTTGACGCAGGTGAAATAGCCCGAGTGCGACTTCTTCTTCTCGCCCGACCCCATGCGCTCGACAAACACCTCGACTTCGACCTCGAGCGTGTGGCGACTACATACAACCAACGACATAAGACAATATTCGTATGCACTTGTAGACTGTACCGGACGCTCACCACGTGCGCACGCATTGACACAATGTCTTCGGTGGTCACGGGCGACTTGAAGCTAATGCGGTTCACCGACACGGTCGCCATGTTGATGCTTTTGCAAAACTTCTTAGCACAGAAGGCCGCCACCTTGTCCTACTTAGCGCATGAAGGACGCGGCCACTGAGGATCGATGGGCGTACCATCCACTGGAGAAGGTCGCCGCCAAAGATCGTGTTGTTGTTGTTGAGGTGCTTGGGCATGAACCAGTTTTGGACCTCGACGAGCGTGTCCTTGACAGGCACAAACGACTGCCGGTACTTGCTCAGCTCGAATTCCTGCAGCATATCGGCCGTGACCCGCGGCAGCGCGTCGACGTCTTCCTGCACGGCGTTCCAGCGGGCCGCCAGCTCCTTGCGCTGCTGCGCCTTCTCCGCCCTAGCGCGCGGTGAGAAAGTAGAGTCGAATCGAAGCGACGCACCGGTCGTCCATCATGGTCGGGTCGACTTCGGACGTCATCGGCGGCAGCGACGGCCGCGGGCGACCTTGACCATCGATGGCCACGAGCGTAATGATCGCGTCGTGCGTGTGCTGGATGTCGCCTGTCAAGACGTCGACGCGGTACCCTGTGATCTGAATCGAGGTCGCGGACCGGCTCGCGTTGAGCACTTGGCCTTCGAGGCGGAAGAGGTCGCCGTAGAAGACCGGGCGGTGGGACCGGACTTGGTCGAGGCTGATGGTGGCCGCGGGGCCCTTTGTGAGCTTGGCCGAGATCGCAAAGCCGAGGACGTCCATGCGCTCGAGGATCGGGCCGTGGTTGAGCCACCGGCCGCGCGCGCCGCCATCGTCGTCCTACCAAGGAAAAGATCGTATATAAATACGGTATGGCAGGATATGGGTACGTACAATGATATCGGCGTAGGACATGCGCGTCGACTCGATCGAGACGGGCGTGAGAAGCGACGACGACGCAAAGGACCGGGCGAGCGACTTGCGAAGCATGATGAAGTTGCGAAATGGATGCCAACGTGGATGGCGAGGATGCCCCGTGGCGATTACCTTGGCACGGCAAGTGGCTTCCTGAGACATGTCGCTAGCCATCACGTTGCTACGCTGGCGCCGATTGGCTCGCGGCGCCAAAGCGCCCACTGCCGCACGTGCAACCGAGTGTCGAGACGACTCGAACGAGTTTGCCGTTGAAGTTGCGACGACTGTCACATGTTGTTACCGGACAGGCGCGACGACCGATCTTGATGCGCCACATCGCGCCTCTGCCGAGACGACTAGCCTTCTTCTCAGTCTAAAGTAGATGTACCGAGTTAGCTGCGTCTATCAAGTGCAACGCTCAGTGACTCGAGTGGACACCATGCACGACGTAGAGTCCATGCCATGATGGAATCCTGCATGCTGACTTGGTCGCGTCAACGTCCTCGATTGGTCAACGTTGGTGCATGACGCATGTCGGCACGGTAACGCCAGCCGCCCAGCTGCACGTCAAGCAGCCAAGACCGCGAATCTGGAGCAGAGAATCTGGAAGTCACTAGAGGCTTGGGACGATTTGATCAGCAAGCGTGAAGGACACCAAATCGCAGTCTCTTGCTCGCATCTTGACTCATCCAAATATCTGGTCTACGCCGTACAAGGCGCTGCTAATGGCGCCAAGGTCACCACGTTCCGGTGCGATGACCATCAACCGTGTCCTGAGATGTTAACTAACCAAAAGTGTTAAATAACATACAGGGGAGAAGCTCCCTCGTCGCGACGTAAGCTCTAGCATTACCTGGGAAATGGCCTTTGAAATTGCCACCAGGGTGAACAAAGAAGCACACGTTTTACACATGTGGTATTCCGGATAGAAAATCGATTATCCGTAGCACCGGTCGGCCGCAGAGCTTTAAGGTCCACCGCTCTGATGCCCGGGACGATCTGGATCGACGACGAGGAAGCTCTTGTCTTCGACTTCGAGGCCGCGCTGCCCGCGCTGCTCGCCGCGGCCTCGACGGCGCTGCCGCAGGACGAAGATGCGAAGAAGGACTTCAAGCGAGGTACGGTCGTCTGCCGGCATTGGCTGCGCGGTCTCTGCATGAAGGGCGACAACTGCGAGTTCCTGCATCAGTACGATATGTCCAAGATGCCCGAGTGCCGATGGGGCATGGAGTGCCAAGTGCCCGAATGTCCCTTCCGCCACGTGCCCGACGAGGACCGCATGGAGTGCGCGTTCTACAAGCAGGGCTTTTGCTCCCATGGCAGCGCGTGTCGGTACCGCCACGTCAAGCTGCCGCGCGACGAGTGCCCCGTCATCGCCGACTTTGGCCTCCAGAGCAAGGCCGCCGAAGAAGAGAGCGCCAAGCGCCGCAAGACACAGGTACATGTACTCTCGCTCGCCCATGCCCTCTCATGCGTTCCGTAGCCTGTGAACGAGTTCTTCAAGATTGCGATCTGCAAGCACTGGGAAAAGCAGGGCACGTGTCCGTTTGGCGACGAGTGCCATTTCGCCCACGGCGAGAAGGAGCTTCGGCCGTTCCCCAAGGACGCCGGAAAGGGCGACAACCACCATGGCGGCGGCGACCGCGGCCCGAGCGACCGCGGCGGCGACCGCGGCCACCACAGCAGCGGGCCCTCGCACAAGGCGCCGGAAGTGCACGCGCCCATGCTGCCGGACGACACGGGTCGCTCGGCGTACTTCTACCTGCGATCGGCCAGCTACCAGAACGTCGCGCAGTCGATGCACCACAACCAGTGGGCCGTGTCGCTGCCCGTGCTCAAGGCGATCACGGACGCGTCCATGGCGTTCGACAACGTACGCCAGTTCCCTCGGCGTCCAGGGTTCTAACGTGCGTAGGTGTTTGTGTTTTTGACGGTGAGCCCGAGTTTGCACATCCAGTGCGTCGCCCGCGTCATGCAGCTGCCGCCCGCGCCGGCCGACGAGGCGTCAGCGACGCCGCTCGACGCTACCACGCTGCCGCACAGCGAGTGGCGCCATGCGATCGGCGTGCAGTGGCTCCGGACGGCCGAGATCCCGTACGAGACGGCCGATACGATCCCAACGACGACCGAGACACCGCTCTCCAAGACGTAGGCTCCATCGTTGTCTGAAGCGTGTACATGATTGTCGTCTCTGGTGTAGACCGAACGGCGCGACGCTCGTCAAGGAATGCGGCCATGGACTCATGCACAAGCTCTTCTTCCACCCGATGATCCGGCTGCACCTAAAGTCGGTCGAAGACGAGATGAAGCTGCCGGGCGGCGCCCTCGAGCTCGCGACGCGCCGCCGCATGGCGGCCGAGTCGGTCGCCGGCTTTGTCGACCCGTCGATTCCGCTGGCGCCGCCCGCGCACCGGTGGCAGGTCAACCTCCCGGGCTTTGTCTTTGCGTGCAACGGCACGACGATCGACGAGGTGTTTGGGCGCATGCTCTTCGGGCTCGCCAAAGACCATGTACGCTACCAGATCTGATTGCAACCTCCTACCTCGTTGTGCGTAGGAGCAAGTGGCGGCGAAAAACGTGCGCCCCGGGGCACCGCTCTTCTTGATCAACATGTCGGACCGCCACGTGCTCGGGATGTTTGAAGCCGTGACGCCGATCGTGCCCAACATGGTGCCCAACGCGTTCGCGCACAGCCCGAACGTTCCGTCACCGTTCCCGATCCAAGTCCGGTTCCAGGTCGTCTTGAACGCTCCGCCGGTGCTCAACGACCACCTCAAGAGCGTGCCGGGCCTCGAGCGCGGGATTCGCATCGGGCCGCTCACGCTCGCGGCCACGCAAGCCCTCGCCAACGTCTTTGCCGAGCGCTGCGGCGCGACCAACCTCGGGCCCAACGGCGAGCTGCTCACGCCCGTCGATCCGTCGACGGCGACAAGCGCGACCTCGGCGCCGACGACGGCTCCACCGACCATGACAACCTCTGCACCGACGACGACGACGACGACGACAACGACGGCAACCGGCGAGCTCTTGGAGAAGATTCCAGTGGGGATTGAAGCCGACCACGAGTTTGGGCCCGTCCGCCGCATCATCGGCCCGGCGGGGTCGTACATGAAGCGCATCATTGCCGACGCCGGGGGCAACGCCAAGGTGCGCCTGCGCGGGCGTGGCTCGGGCTACGAGGTACGGGTTGATACCTTGATAGTGTCGTCTCATGGCCACGTGCTAGTCGAATGGGAAAGACGCGGACGAGCCGCTCGTGCTGCTCGTCTCGGCCGCCAACGAACAGAGCTTCCGCATCGCGTGTGCTGCGTCCCGGGACCTCCTCGCCTCCGTGCACAACGACTTCCAAGCCTTCCTGCAAAAGGGC